ACAGAAGGCAGTGTAGCGCTGCTAACCAGGCTGTGGGTGCTAGCTCTAAAGGCTCGCAACAGGCTCCTTTCGCCAAGCCTAGGGGTTGTCCGCTCGACTGAGCCATTGAATGCGCCGCGGCCGAACGCCTGTGTGATCTGCCGGGTCCTCTTGAACCAGGCTAGGCTCCGCGAAACTAGCGGATGGCGAAACCGCCCTTGCACCAGAATTCATTTCAGAGCATACGCAAGAGAACGTTTAGGACGGTCTGCAATCGGGTTTATCGAACCGACAAACCAGTCAGGACTACCGGCAGGCCATGAATCTCGAGGTCCGGCGTTGTGAAGGGGCAAGACGTCACTTCATTGATGTCGCGCTGGAACCTATCACACGTGGCTTCGACGGCTGTCTTGCCATAATGGTGAAGTGGAGGTAGGAAGAACTGCTCCGACCGGAAGCACACAAGCAAGCCTGCCCCACAAGAGGGAACAGGAAGATGCCCAGGCATTGGGGTTGTTTACTTACGATCTCTTCTGCAGTCGGGCGTCGGTACCAAGGTTGCCTAGGTCGCGGCGCACTAACGACGTCACCATCGTGGAAAGTGATACTCGTTCCGACAGGGTGCGGGATCTCCACCAATCCTATATAGAGGATCGGTTCTTCTTTATCAGCCCATGTCTGTGGGATGATAAAATCCATCAAAGTGTCGTACCCTATTTCTTGCCACATAGTGATGGCATAGTACCTTCCCCCAACATGGGTTACCACTGCCAAACTGGGTCCTGGACCTGTTCGGATTAGACCTGGGAACCGCAAGAATGTGCGGTACGAGTCAAAGCGTTGAGGCTTTGTTGGTACGCAGACCGCGTGCACAAATGGCTCAACCCCTGTTGCGCTGTCTACTACCATGGCAAGGTAGCGCTGGAGCCTGTGATATGATTTGCCTCGAATTGCAACCGGGACTGGCCTGACATGTGGCGGGTACGATGGCACCAAGCTACTTAACATCGGCAGCTGCCCCGCTCATCAATTGGGGGCTCAGCGCCGGCCTCCTCGACTCGAAAGCTCTGACCCATGGCACTTCGTCCAGGGCATCTGGAATCACGATTGGCTGCACTGGATGCCAGGCAGAAGTCGATCCGACACAGTCTATAGAATCTCTTCAACAGGCATAAAGTACGGCCACACTGGTGCATTGCCAGGAGGGGCAACGGCCTGGCTTTCCTGGATTCCGGGGTTCGGGATGACCATGGCCACAGCGCAAGTCGGCATTAGGTGCAGCGTAGCCCATAATGGGAGTCCGACAAACCACACAGACCGTGGCCCCCAAAGATCCCAAGAAAGGGAAAGACTCGCCAGAACCTCCTACCAGGAGATGGCACGCTCAATCTGTATCGCCGCTTATCTGCACGCCTGGCTTTATGTTTCGCCGCACTTGGAAGGAAGCCCCTGCCATGAAACATGCTGCGAATCCATAGCATGTTGCTGCAGACGCATCGCATGTGAGTAAATGACAAAATGTGCCAAGCGGGGAGCGTTGGAACCCGAGCTGGCAGAACAGGACTGCAACGAGAGAGGCAGTGAGCCCTCCTATCAAGGCCAGCCCTGTGGATGTCGCCTGCTGCTCCCACCGAAAGGGGTCAGTAATGCATGTCACCGGCACTGTATACCGAAGCACCGCAGTCATAACACCTACAGCGGGGGAAAGTTGCTGCATGGGCCGCCAGACCTCCTCCTCACACGCTTGGCATAGCCCCAGAGCGCAGCAGCAACATGCACAACAGGAGAACTAAGAAGCTGTTTCATCCCCTGAAGGAACACAGGTGGCCCAGGACTTTGCGAGGACAGAGCTTCTCCGTGTCTTTCAGACTGGAGCCGGCCCTGCGGAACAAGAGGACGATATGAACGTGGACCGCATGGTGGAGACATGGCGGGAGGAGTCGGATGGTTTGGATGCACAATCTGTCTTGCAAAAGGCCATGCGTGCAGCAGGTGCTGCGGGGGTTGGCGCCGTTTTTTCGGGCCCCTGCAGTCCCGGCGTCTTTTCCAGTGCTGCCCACGGATTTTGTTCCGCCTCCGGGCTTCGTCCCGGTGCCGGGTGCGGAGACGTCACAGGGGAGTGCCCATGTGGACAGCGTATCGGTGAAAAACCGTACCCCCGGCGGTTGTACCGCATCCTGGAGGAGCCTCCTTGGGAAACAAATTGGATGCGCGTCAGACATGCCCTGGCTCCTTTCGGTGTGCGTCTTCCTGTGGCTACGGTACCATCCGAAGCACATGCGGGTGCCCCACCCGGAGATGGAGCTACGACCCTAGAGGGCCCAGATCTTGGGAAACTTTGGGAAAGGTTCCGGGAACATGTTGCGCTCCGGGCAAGGTGTGCTTCGGATGGAGGCTTTTCTCCTTATCGCATTGGCCTGTCCTTCTTCCTGCGAGGCTGTATATTCTGGGACAGTACATATTGGAGTTTTGCATGTACAGTTTTGCTCTCCTCCATCTCCTTTCGCCCTAAGGCAGCCACCTGTCATGGTGACGTTCTTTGATCTGCCGGAGGTATTTTTGGTGTCGGTATTGTGTACACGCGTACACATGTTCTTTTGCCGCTGCGCGCTCGCTCTGAGGGTGCCTCCAGGTTTACTCTCTGGATCGGTTCTTCCTCTGCGGGCAGAAGTTTTGGCGAGGTCTTGTCATGTCTGAGTGTTGTTTGGTGATGGTTCGAGCAGCAGGCGACCCAGGGGATTTCTCAAAAGCCCTGCAAGCCTGTGACAAACCCCAAGCCCTAAACCCTAAACGCCAAGCCCCAAAACATAATATTTAATATGGGGGTCTTAATAACTAGAAAGAACCCCAAAGTAGTACTCGTGTTTGTTTAGACCCCTATATTAGAGGCCTCTTCTAAGAAGCCGAAGATCTCCGATCACACCGGACAGGTCTGGATGCGCTTGCACTTGACCACCTGCATGCTTGTATTAACTCGGTTTGGGGTCTTGGGCTGTCGAAGGTGGAGAAGAGCGTGTGGCACCTCGCGCTTTGGGGCTTAGGGCTGAGGGCTTGTGGTTTGGCGTTTCAGCCATGCAAAACTCTGCACATGCAAATCCCGGCTCTGAACCCTAGGAAACGTGTCGAGGAGCTCTGATCATGCAGTTAAACGGCCAACAGTGAGATGATGCAGCTCCGAACAATTAGTAGTAGCACCCCGCTGTCGCCGCCGTACAAACATGCGACAACATACTCCAGAACCCTCCGAGTCCACCGCGAGGTGCGCCCCCCCCACCCGCACCCGGCCACCTTTCGGAAGCTCTTCGGTTGATGGCGAACGTTCGTCAGGAAGGAATCAAACTTGCGAAGATGGGCCTCGCAGAAGGCTTCGGGACAGGGCGGGTCAGGGTTTAAGATTTCGGGTTTAGGTTCAGAACTTACTACTCTTTCCCCTTCTTTGGCTTCGCGGCCTCGTAATTTCGTGGCCCGCACAATTAGACGAATTTGGGTAGTTAGCTGTTAGCTATAGTATGCTTATGTCAGGACTATAAATGGATACTTCCAGCTCATGCCTCTACATCACGTAAGCCTGGGCGCTCTGCTAGCCCACGGATGAGAATTTGTTTTTGGAATTGTGGTTTTGGGCTTCTGTGGTATTCCAGCGGAGCATCTAAAGCCTCTCCTACTGCAAACACAACAGCTGAATACCTAGAAGTGTAGACCCCGAATTGATAACCCCGCTTGCCTCAATACGGGCTATGAACGGATCCTAATCTGAAGAACAATTACGGAAAAGTGGATTGATTAAAGAGTGGTCTACATTACTAGTTCTTCCCGTTGTTGTCGCTGCATTAGGTCTATGCCTTACCACGCTGCTAGGCGAAAACTCCACCAAATAGACTGACTCAAAGTTCAACTAAAAGCCCGAAACCCCAAGCCCAAAACCCTAAACACTAACCCTAAAGAGCAAACTGATGATGCAAGAAGGCGTCTTTGTGCTGATTTCGGGTCGGGCTTGTTGGTGCATCACCATGTGCTCGCCACGTTGCTGAGTTCCATGAGTTGAAAGCAGGCCTCGTCGGACGAGTTTAAAGTTAAGAGCTTTATCTGAGCAGTTTCTATGGGTTCGCGGGAGTAAGCTTAGACACAGGAACACCAATCCATGTGCACATACGTATATATATATATATATACACATCTATATGCTTCTGAAGACATGGAGGTGCGATAGAAAGATGAATCGGCCAGACCGCGGCCAGCAGCAATTATAAACAAAAACGAGCTCAATAGGTGAACTACACGACGCAACACATTCGAACACAAAGAAAGACAGATTAAAAAGTATGAAATGCATGTTAAAATCACACGAATCACCGCCACCCACCTCCCCATTCACACGGCCAGGGGTTGTATCATTTCATATGTCTCTCCCGTCATGTTCATCATCATCATCATCACCGTCGTAATCGTTATGGCAACGCTGCTGCTTCAGGCAACGCCATCGAGATGCGGCGTCTCAAACCTTCAAGGCCGGATCCCTCAGAAGGCATTTCCCTGTCGACGTAACATAAGAGCTGAGGCACTTAGAATGGTATGGTTGGGAAGGGCAATCAAGGAAAAGTACTGCCTCTAATGTTGGAGTCCCTTTAAATAAATGGGTGACAATAAAAATACCTAC